CAAATGCTAATAAATTGAGTTATCAACATTCAACATGTGATCATTAATCGTAATTTGACAACTTGAGTAAGAACCACCTACCACATTAGTAAAATTCTGGTTTTGTCTGTGGATGACTGACATGTAGGCTGGAAAACCAACCAACAGGCTTACAGATTGGATGGAATTAAAAGGGAACGAAGTCTGCCCTTTTCTTCAGAGGAGCTCTCGTCTTCACCATTGCCTTCAACTGTTGGTCTCCATTTTCCTCAAGCTTCCAGCAAGACTCTTCAGCCTTACAGCACACTCTCTGGTCCTCTGACATAGATTCACATCAGTGACTTTGCAACAATCTTTCAGGTCTTTGACCTTCATCTGCTACTGGATCATCCAGCTTTCTGGTCCACAGACTGCCATTTTGGATTATGCCTCATTTCTGTAGATGGTCTTGGGACTCCTCCCCTTCTGATCCTGTAAAGCTACCTAATAAACCTTGTATCATTGTTTATATTTTATATTGGTTCTGTTCCTCTAGTGAATGCTAATACATGATGAATACTAAACGTATTGTGAAAGATGGAAAACAATTGATGGGTTGGGTTGATGTTTGAACTCTGACCAACTGTAATGTCACTGAAAGAGGGCAACTGACCATTTTGCACTTAACAAATTGATAAAACTACATATTATTTAGGAAGTATTATTGTCTGATGCAGTCAATCCTCAAGGTCTGACTACCAAGTTATAGAAAAGCTGTGGCATAGAATTGTCATTAAAAAGTAATCACAGGCAAATAACCAGCCACATTCAGAAAGTGGAAAAGGCCACAGGAAAAATAACTAGCTCTTTAGCACTTAAAATGTCACAGATAATGTTGGGGTGTAGGGGGTGAGAGGAACTCTTAATTCTGAGAGGCATATCAAGTAAACATAATGTGTAAAGCTTATTTGGATCCTTATTTGAACAAACAAACCAATTGTGAAGGGTATTTTTGAAACAGCATGGAAAATTTGAACAAGAATTGGGTATTGAATAGTATTGAGTAATTTTGGTAGGTGTGATAAAGTGCTATTTGTTACAGATACATGGGTATATAGTTCATGAATTTAAAATACTGCAATGAAAAAAAAGTGTAGGAAAATAAAACGTTTCGTAAAACACTGCTGGTTATGGTTCACTATGTGAAGATATGTGATTTTTGCTATATACTTTTACATTTTTGTTAAGACATTTTCTATGAATAAAAAGAAAAAAATAGCACTGTAGATACTTATATAGATGGTAAAGCACACAAAATACTTTTCATGCATTCAATGAGCTTATAATCTTTGAAAGAATGAGAAAAAGAACAATGTAAGGTCATTTAAGTATTGGTCAAGTGAGTAATTCAAGCAGTAAGTGCAATAACTCAAGGAAGCGTTTAATATCACTAATTATCAGATAGTTGCAAGGATGATGTTACCTTAATAAAAAAAAGAAATCCACTAGAAAAATTTATGCTTGTTTTAGATTTTCTAAGCTAGTCTAATAAACTGATTTTTCAATCTGGACACAAAATACCAATTCTTAAAACTGTAGATAGAAAAGCACATCTGTCTTGCCCAGAAAAATACTTTGATGTTAAAGTACAATTTTAAATAGCAAAAACATAGAGAAACACATAAAATGTTTATCCACAATGATCTATAGAATCTAATCTTTTCAATTTAATGACCGCAGAACAGTCTCTACAAGTACTTTCCTTAAATTATAACATTCAAATTAAGCCAGTCAAAAATATGGCTGCAACACAAAATATTAAGTACTATCAAATGTCTGGTAACAGGGTAAACGAATACTGCTGCTCTTGGTATAAATAAAGTTAGAATGACTACACCTAGTTGATCTGTTAGGACACTCTGAAGAGACACAAAAATCTGAAGAAAATTACAGAAATATTATTACAGGTACAATTTGTGAGTATAAAAACTATACATGAACACAAGCAAACCCAACTTTTAAATAAAACTTTTAGTGAGTGACATTAAACGCTAACCATGCTTACTGACAGATAAGTACTAAATCTTTTCACTAATAAAGAAAAGCTGCATCTTCACATATCTATGGTCATAAGAAGCTTCATCTCTTCCCAAAATATTTCAGTATAAACTTGCACTTGCCAAAAGACATCTTCATTTTCTGTATTGGCTAAAAATAATAAAAAGCAAATATTAAACTGAAAACCAGAGCATGGGGAAAAGGAATGCATTAGTTAGAAGCCTGAAAAGAAACAACTCGTATATTTGAGGATTGTCTTAATGGCTTCTGTAGTATCAACTTTCAGTTTACTTCTTTCTTAGTACCTAGTGAGCCAACCCTAAAACATGTTTGACAGCCAAATAAAAATTCATTTTAAGTGTTAATATTGAATTTGAAACATGAAATACATCTCAAAATGAAAAAAATGTATAGTCCTGTTCCTATGATCACCCTGAAATGAGTTTTATCCAGTAAAGAAGATGGTAAAGGAGATCTATTATCAAATAACTGAGTTTCAATAGTAAATACATTTTTCAGTCAGGTCATGCATATATGTATCATCTGAATATAATAATGTCAACCATTTTAGCAGGGTTTATATTGTCTACATTCAAAACATATTAAGCAGATTACAAAGAATATTTAAATAAGAGCTAAATGTATCAATACATGTAATGTCTATTTTTAGAACTTAACAGTGAGCAGAAAATTTTGGGGCATAGTGATGTAAGCCTGTAATGCCATCACATGAGACGCTGAGGCAGGAGGATCGCCTGGACTACATAGTAAGTTCAAGATCAGCCCAGGCTACACAGCAAAACCTTGCCTCAATAGACTGAAAAAAAAAAATTCACAAAACTAATAATTACTTATTGCTTAAATGTACTGTTTTTTACTATTCATTTTGGTAGAGCCTTCCAACAGAGCTCCATACCCAGCCTATTTTTTTAGAGGAGGTCTGTGTGGAGGCTATCCATAGTTGTGCACAACTACACCTAGCTTACTATCTTAAAAAGTAAAAAATTAACACTAGATAAAATGACATAATGAACACGGTATTTAATATCAATGAACATGATATTTAAACATATTTTGTTTGGATTTATAATCAACATGTTCACTTCCAACAATTTAAAGGATTTATATACTCAAACATATCACTGCACTGTAACTTATTCAGAAACTATGCAATGAAAGATTTCATCTGGAAATGAAAAGATGGTTTAAAAAGTGATGTACCAAGTTTCAGTCAACAAGAGGCCACATGTATGACAGTGGCTATGATACATAACTTAGGTGTGTACATAACATGTTTGTGTAAATAACTGTTACGATGTTCACACAATGACAAAACTGCCTAACACCACATTTATCATAATGTATCTCTCTCCTTAAGTGACACACAGCTACATTTTTAAAGACCTGGTATTCTCACCAAAGATAAGCAAAATAACAATAGCATGAATAAACATTTTTTCATCTACTATTTTAACTTTGCTTCTTTTATTCAAGACTGTTGGACTAGAAAAATATTTAACAGAAATCTCTAAAAACAGCAAAAAAAATTTTTTAAAGATGAGTTAAATCCACAAATTTGTATTTTAAATTTTTCAAAAAAGCTAATTTTGCTTCATTTAAATATTTATATGACATTACACTAAAAGCCCAACATATAAAACCTTTTCCTTAATGCACACAAAAATTAATGCTGAAGAGGGCCACAGATTTAGCTTAGTGGTGCCACAGTCTGCCTCACAAGCCAAGAACCTGAGTTTGATCCCCGGTACCCCCCGCAAAAAAAAAGAAAGAAAGATTTAAGACTGAAGAAATTAAAGTTTCTAGGAAACACAATGTGAAGTTTAAATTTTCTGCTAAAAATATTTTCAAACATCACATTGCATCACACTTAAAACAAGACCTATGGAAAAAATTTCTAAAAAGAGTAACTTGATAAGCAATACAAACGTTTCATGTTTTACTAAACTTTTCTATTTTTTCATTGAATTTTTAAATAGACTTTTTCCTCCCCTTTGGTCAAAAAGCAATTCCTATAAATATCAGTACCTGTCATCTACAACCAGCTCCATCCGAACCTTCCTCAAATCATTTATCTCACCTTTAAGGCAATTTGAATCCAAAACATCCCATGAATAGCAACTGATTTCAAAAGCCATATTTAAAACCAAAATATATTTTAATACATTCCAGTGTTACATATTCCAATGAAGATTGCGTTTTTGTTTTTTTTTTTTATTAAACCCTAAGTACTCAATAATATCTATTTAAGGAGCACAAATGCAAAGTTTTAAGCCTGGACCCAGGCTTTCAACTTCATTCTTACTGAATGGTTAAAATCAGTAAACATTACTACTAGCAAGGTATGAAGACTGGATGTGCAAATTTATTTTCCAAGAGTGTTTTTTTCTCTTGGTAACCATTTCTATCAGCCTCATACAACTAGAACTACTTCCATAAAGTCACTGAAATGAGATTTTTTTTCAAATCTACCTTGAGGTCTACACACTCCCTTTCTCAGCCCATTAAATACTTAATTTCCTTCATGAAGTACATCTCACCTAAATATTCCAGTTTTACATAAATATTACAATATTAAGGAATAAATTTTAATGAATACAAATCAAAGGAAATGAAGGAATATTAACTTCCATTCAAATCTCCTTTTCAAAGGTATGTTTTCAAGTTATATTTTTAACTTCCCGATTCTCTTTTAAAAAGATGAAGACAAAATTATTCTGCTAAAGACTTTATTCATGAATCTATAATAAAATTCAAAATAGCAAAGAACATGAAAAATTTTCAGATTATTTGCCAACTAAATATATCAAAGAATACTATTTTTCACATAACAAAAATGCCTAAAAATGTACATTTGAGAATATAAATATTCTCTTTGTGGAATAATAAAGGTAAATAATAAATTGCTTAATACAGTTTGCAAGAAATGTTTATTATACTATTAAATACATACAATTCAAAAGAAATCAAATATAACTGATAAAATAATTATTTCATGGCTAATCTTTTGGTAAAGTGCTATTTCATATTGAAAAGTTAGTAAAGGCTAAAAATTCTGCATGTTGAACCACCATCCTGAAAGTATTAAAATTTTTCATTATTCACTATGTTCATCACATTCATATGTTCCCAATACAAGACCATAAATGATACCTTAAAAGTTAATAAAATCTTTTTATTCACTGATTATTTCCTGGAAGTTAAAAATGACGACAGCATTACCGGATGATGCTTTTCATGATACAAGAGTGTACTAGACACAACTGTTCATTGTTTTAAGAATGATTTTTGGTTTGAAGCTGTCCTATTTTCCAACTGGATGGTTATAGTTAGTAAAATATTCATAAAATAGCACACATTTAATTTGAACCATAAGAGAACACTGGGTCGATGGTTTAAAGGCAGTGAATGGCATATATATCAAGAGTTCAGGGATGATGAGTCCCCTGAAATCCATAACTAACATTATCAAGTGCTACAGGAAAACATTAAGGACAGACTCATTTCCTTTCATGAATCAATTCGTTAACAGCATCAGCCAATGAGAGGAAACTTAGTTGGAGAAACTCTCAATAAAGGCACACAGGTGCAAATCATAAACAGATAACTAAGATCAACTAAACTATATATGCAAGCATGGGTGTATCTACTCCAAGCATTCACACACACAAGGCTCAATACCATTACTGCATAGATGAACTCTATGCCTATGGCTGTATCATAGAGATCAGAACTAGATGATAAGTTTTCCAGAATTAACAAAACTTTGAATGATGCAAAAATCAGCCTTTCCTCAAAATGAAACACATTAAGATAGTAGGGAAAACATGCAATGAGATTGGAAATTATGTCACAAATATTGAATCTCAGAAAGGACACATTCAATTTCATAATGGAAGGTTGCTGATTTCTTCTCTCTCTCCTTGAATAATCAAATGCAAATGCCTTTTAGCAATGGCAGCATTCAAATCCCACAAAAAATCAAGCAGTGTCCCCTTAAGGAGCAACTCCATTGGCACAAACTGTAAAACCTGCTGGGGTGTATCAGCGTTAAGCAAAGTGCTCAGTAATTCATTCATATTCTGCAGATACTGGAAAACTGGATTTGGAAGATTCTGATAACCAACACATAGCAGGACGGCACAGGTTCTCAGGGGCTCAGAAGACGTGGGACAAGAAAACGTGATGCATCTAAAACAACTGCGAAGTATAAAGATCAAGCCAGCCATAAATCTTGTTAAACAAGAAAGTACAGGCAAAATCATAACATCTCCTATATGAAGCTGCTGTAATGAATGTAGAAAGCAGTCCAAAAACAAATGCTGGTAATTTGGGTCTCCATCATGAAGCAATGAACAGCTAAAAGTCATGAGTTCAGCAGATTCCAGGATTTGAACTTCCAATGGCATATGCATTTTAATTTTAACATCATGGAGTGTTGATACACCTACAAATAGGCACTTTATTTGGCTGCTGGTTTCTATAACCTGCTTGTCCTGAAGGCACTGGGTAAGACTAAACAACTCAGAAAATAACAGTTCTTCTGAAAAAATGTGACAAGAACAGTAATACTGCTGTTTTGGCCTAAACTTGGAATCCAAATTCAAAGTTTCTCCTAAGGACTTTTCAACTGCTTCATTAAGAGCCTTTAAAATTTCGCCATCGCAGAAAGGAGAGCACTTTACCTTCGGCAGTTTCTTTCCTTCTATAATATGCCAGAAGTCACATTCAAGATCGGAAGCTGTCCCTTCTAAAAGAGAATTTTGTCCAGGATGATACACAGCATGTTCTTCAGCCCAACTGTTAAAGTACCCCTTAGCTACTTTATCTTTCCATGATAGGGTTTCCAGAATCTTCCTTTCATTATAGGTTTTAAAATATCTGTTTCTCTGCCCAAACCACTTTGTATTGGTACTACAACCAATGTTATATTTTTTTACTAGCCAATTATTTCGGGAAAGAGGTTTCAGTTGAAATTTTTGCATAAAATATTGTACCGCACAATCCCTTAAATTATTCAACTTTGTTTGTTCCTCTTTTCCCATGCATTCAAACAGACGGATATTCTCAGAAATAGTCTCTAACTGATATTTATGAAAAAAAGCACAACATTCTTCATGTCTTTTAAGAAAAGATTCAGGAATCACATGATGGGGAAAGAGAGCTTTCCTAGTCATTTCAATCCCAAAATTTAGCACCATCTTAGACAACACAGGATGGATGGCCTCTCTTCCCTTATACTGGAGACATACCACATAGACTTCCGAGTTTCCTGCCTTGCTAGTTGCAGGTTTGAAAACATGGACTTGGTCAAAGGAACAGTTTAACAAGTACATCAGGTTTATGGAACAATGTTCAAACAAAGTAAACATCTTCAGAACAAAAGACCCACCATATCCAAGAGTAGTCAGAGCAGTGACAACTTCACAGTAATGCAAAGAAGAGACTAAAGCTTCTTGTTCACCTGGGTTTCCTTGGCAATCAAAACTACCATCTGCAGTGATCAAGTGAATGGTAGCCATGCTACTTAGGAAATTCTCAAGTCCAGTCAGGTATTCCAGGGTCATGATATCACCAGTGTTATCTGGACCAAAGTACCACCAATGCAAGGTATTTGCAATGAGCCGGTCATCCATGATCATCATAACGTTATCATTTGCTTCATTGTATGGATTCAGAGTATTAGCTACCCAACTCCACTCACAAGGGAACTGATGAGATTTTAAGTAGTGGTTGAGACTAGCTATAAAAGCTCCAGGAGCTTCACAAAGGTGAACAGAATTCAGTTTTCCATTCTGAAAAGCTTCCTGTGGAATAAGTGGAAAGCTACACAAAATCTCATGGAATTTACACCATGCCTGAGTACAAAGTTCAGCATTCACAGATTTTTTCACATGAGAAATGATTTTTCCTGCTTTATTAGTATAAGCAGTGTGCTCATGCCACTCATCCAGTTTCTTATCGCTCAGGAGATTTTTTACTTCATTTAGAGAGTTCTTCAAGTCAAGAAATGCATTAAGTTCTGTGTGATCACAGATGAAAATCTCACTGGGATCTGGTAACTGCCACTCATTATTAAGTGGCTTGCAATAAGAAAAGTTCTTGGCAAAGAGTTCAAAAATGTCATCAAGAACATCTGGGCTGAATGTCTCAAGACTTGCTAACTGCTGAACTGATGACTTTCTGCACTTGCTCATTTTCAAATCAAATTAAAATCTAGGAGAGAAAAACATTAAATTAATCAAATTATTAGTAAACAAAATATCATTGGCAATAAATCCAATAACACTCATAACAAACCCCTAAAATAGGAAGGCTAATGTCACCACATTCTGATATAAAAACAAGGCAATATGAAATAAAAAGAATAAAGGCTTCAAAATCCAATAGACTTGGGTTCCACTTTTCCTACTTACAGCTTAATAAGGGGTTTGGGAAAACTGCATCTTGAGATTCAATTTAACAAAAAAACTGTTGTGTCATTTTTTTTTAAAGAAGGATAAAACACACTGGCATATAAAGAACATACATTAAAAAGTATTCATCAGTGGGCCAGGGATTTAGCTCAGGGGTTCCACCGCCTGCCTCGCAAGCACAAGGTCCTGAGTTTGATCCCCAGTACCAAAAAAAAAAGAGTACTCATCAGTGAATGGTAGCTTTTATCACAGTAACATGTCTAGCTCCTCCCCAAAGTTCTCTACCCACAGTTGTGATACCACCCACATGGCCACAAACAACCATTTAGAGATTCATCTCTGTCCCGTTCTAACAAGCAACTTTTAGCATTTTTAAAAATTCCCTTCGTAGCTCACCTCCTTCCAGAGGGGGCATCTTGCACCTGAACCTGGTACTTAATCTTATTATCAAACCCCTTGGCATTACCTAACTAACCACCTACTAGGATTTCTAAACACATCCACTGTCCAAATTTCAGAGTCACGTACTTTGCTGGTATCAATCATCTACACAGGCCACCAACTCACATTCACTGATAAGAGTTTGGATCTATAATGTTCCCTCAAAGGCCTAGGTGTTAAAGGCCTTGGTCCTCAGCCTGTGCTATTGGGAAGTGATAGAGGCTTTAAGAGTGGGGTCTTATAGAAGAAAATTAGGCATGTTGGGATCTCCCCCCTGCCCCCAGCCTGGGTCAAGGCAATTGGTCAAGTGACCACAGACTGAAACTTCTGAAACTGTGAGCCAAAATAATCCTTTCCTTCTTATAAATTGTTTCTCTCAGGTATTTTGCAACAGTGATGGGAAGTCGGCTAATACATTCAGCACATTGTCCTTCACTGGTTAACCTCATCCTGCTTGCTGCTGGTCGGCTAATACATTCAGCACATTGTCCTTCACTGGTTAACCTCATCCTGCTTGCTGCTGGTCGGCTAATACATTCAGCACATTGTCCTTCACTGGTTAACCTCATCCTGCTTGCTGCTGGTCGGCTAATACATTCAGCACATTGTCCTTCACTGGTTAACCTCATCCTGCTTGCTGCTGGAAGTGACCAGAGTTCCCCCTGGTATGTCTTTAACTTAAGAGTCCTGCCTCTAATATGATTGGTCCTACAGTTCCGTGTTTACATTATAACATCTTATTATTTCTGCTTGCCACTAAAACTTAAAACAATTTGATAGCAGAATTTTAAAATGAAAGAATAAAGCCTTACCAAATATAATTACAAACACACTACCAAATATAATTACAAACACATTTACTCTACTGTATTTTGTGTTTTAACATTGTCCAAGAAATCAAAAACATCTCTCTCCTGGAAAGAAAAAATGATAGAAGAAAAAAATGAATTGCTTAATGGCACAGTGTTGGGAAAGTTCTAAATTTCAACAGAGCAATGAGTATTACAAGGTGCCTGTTAGTACAATTTAATAGGTGCTTTCACTCATGAATTCTATACTTAATTTAGCATATTCAATGCATTCTAGAACTACTTTTGTAAAAACCTAAATTTGTTTGATGTGAAAAAATTGACAACTAAATCATCATCCCATAAAAAGCAGACGTTCAAAGAATGAAACGGGAAATAGGTGAGCTATTTCCATAAGTACAGTAATACCCAGATGACTTCATTCTATTAGTGTTTACTTTGTATTGTTCTTCTAGCATACTTTATCTCTTTTATGTACAAGTTCATCGACTTTGTAATAAGTTTGATGTAACAGGTTTCTCTTTAGTCATTTTTGTTTGCCAGAGTATATTTACAAATTATATGTAAATATAGGTTAACTGTCACAAGTATTCACTGACATTGTTCTTACCTTAGATTTTTTTTTTAAGTTAGAAGCTACAGCCAAATCTGAAGATAAAAGTGATTCTGCATTCACTGAAGTCCTAAATAAGGGTAAGTAAAAGTTTATTAAAACAAGCTCTTCTATTTTAATTTAAATGGTGCTTGCTAAATACTTCAACTATGTTTAGGTCTCAAATATATTCTATTTTCAAGTCTGATTTCAGTTATTAATTTCACAAACTAATTAATGGCTTCAGTTAAGCTGTAAAATCTTACCTAAATTACATAGGCAATTGCCTTTACATAGGACAACTAAAGAGATTCAAATGCTCTATTGTTCTTCCTAACTATACTTCATCTATGCTACCAGGCAATTTTTATTACAACTTTCCTTACTCATTCCACTCCAGCCACACAAATCTTCCACTGAAGACACCACACACATTCCAAGCCCAGAACTATGCACTGCCTGTTCCCTCTACCTGGGATGCAATTCCTCAGGTATCTGCAGTGCTAATTTTCTCACCTTCATCCAGTATTTGCCTAAATGTTATTTTCTCTGTGACATCTATAGGCCTTGACACACTTACTTTTTAAATTGTATCTTGCATTACCAATGCTCCTTACTTTTTTTCCATGACACTCATTTCCTTTAAACTTCTTTATGTTTACTGTTTATTGTGATCCACACACTAGAATGTAAGTTAAATAGGGCTGGAATCCTTGTTTTGCTTACTTATATATCATGGTAAGAAGTTAGAACAGTGCCTAATTAGGACAAAGTAGAGAACTCTTTAGTTCTAAGTATTTACTGAATAAACAGATACAGTACATTGCACAAAAGGCACTTTTCTGATCACTTACAGAACGAGTCATAATAATACATTTTAATTGCACTCTAGCATTTCAATGCATGAGAAGAGGCAAAACAAAAATCTGTGGTTTCTAGACTGCATGGAAATTTTTTCCAGTATGTAATCTTTGGTCGCTTTCATTAAGCACTCCACGGAGCTTCTCGACATCATAACTCTGCTAGGTGGGTCGGTATTACCATTCTTACTTATATTGCAGATTCGAATATGAAGTTACACAGCGTCCTGCCTAAAGCCACAGGGCATACTTGTACAATTAGGGAACCAAACACAAAAGATCTCAACAGATCGTGTCTCTTTCAAGTAACACGAAGGAAACTTAACAAGTGTTTTTCACAACTCCTCCGGGGAACTGAAAAGAACAGTGTTTATCCAGCGCTTACTTTGGGTCAAGATCTCATTTCATCCTAGTGAAAGAAAGTTCCATCTAGAGACCCAGCCTCTGACCTGCAGGAAACTCAGTCGCCCCAGCCCCTGCCTCACCCATCAGAAAGTCCAGACCCAAACTCGCAACCAGGCCTGGATGACCTTCGCTTACGCCCACCTGGGCCCCACGGTCTGGGGAGACTGCGCTTCACTCGCTCTCCTCACTCGAGGAAGCCATTCTCCACTTCCCTTCAAGGTCTGCTTCCTGAGCAGGTCGTTCCTTCGGGTCTGCGGCAACCCCAGCCACAGGGGAGAAAGGTATCGCGGCTGGAGGCCAGGAAGACGGCCCGACCCTCTCTCTTGGCTCCTGCACCCAAAGCCCTCCCCGAGGACTTCCCTAGCCGAACGCCTGCCTAGAGCAGCCCCGACAGTCTCACCGCGCACGCGCCCGGCTGGGCTTGCGTCACGTACGCTAAAGTCACGCACGCCGTCGACTCTCGCGGCGTTGAGCCTTTAGGTCACAGGGTTTTGTTTCTCCGGGAGATACTCTGACAGAGAAAGGCCTGCTTCCGGCGGCCCGGGTGCTATGGCAACGGAGACTGCGCTTGCGTAGCTGGCGGGGTGGGGTGGAAAGGGGCGGAGCTTCCCCTGGCCACAACCCAAAGATTTTCTTTACAGCCTTGTTGAGCGAATGTTATTAGTTCGTGGCATAGACTGGGTTGAAACTAAAGCTCAGAACACATACGGTTAAAAGCCAAACTAGGGGAACTGAGAGATACTGTTGTTACACTGTTATTATAAATAGGGGCATATGAGGAAGACTAACCACAGAAGAAAAATGGATGAACATTTGAATAGTCCAAAACAACTGAGTCATAGAGCCAATAAAGAGTATAAACAAGGTTTTTAATCTATTGTTAAAAAGAGAATTGTGAGTGTTTCATTTTGCTTAGATTAAAAAGATTGAAAATGTTGGTGAGACTATGGAAGAACAAGTTCTAACTGAGTGGGAGTGTTATGGTTTACAGTGTAACTGGATGTCTCGCCCAAAGACTCAGGTACTCATAGACGGGTTTGAGGGTGGTGATTATACCATGGGGGCGTGATGCTCATCACTGGATTAGTCCACCGATGAATTTATAGCGAAATGTGACTTGGGAGGTGAAGCCTGGTTGGAGAAGTTGGGTCCCTGGGTGTTTGACCTCCCTCCCTCTTCCCTGGAGATCGCTCTCACGTTCTCTCCTTCCCTCCTCTTCTTCCCTCTCCCTTTCACCCTCCCCTCCTCTCTTCACCTCTCCCGCTCCTCCTCTCTCCCTCTCTTTCCTTTCAGTGTGTCAGGGCATGAATTGTTTCACGTCTGGGATGCCCTTCTGCTATGTACGCTGCCCTGCCTTGGAGCCAGCTGACCTTGGACTGAAACCTCTAAAAACTGTGAACCAAAATAAACCTCTTCTCATTTAAGTTGTGGGTGTCGGGTATTTTGTCCCAGAAACAAGGAATGGAACTAAAATAGAGAGTAAAAATTAGTGTAAATCTACAGAAGGCAAAATTTAAAATAGGAATGCGCGTTAGCCCAGCAGGTTCCAAACTTGGCAATTTACTCTTAAGAAATAAATAACTAATGCTCACTTCAGACAGAAGGCTCATTTCAGCACTTTAACAGCAACAACAATAAAAGAGGGAAATACAGTTTCTACTTAAGGACATTAATTTATGGTACATAATATGGAGTTACATGAAGCCATTAATAGGCTATAACTGTCAATATATATGAAGCCAGTAATAGGCTTATTTGCCAATAGTTTCACATGAAAATAGAATATAGAACTGTGTGTAGAGTTTGAACCACTGATATTAATATATTTTAAGTATAAATTCATTTTTTCAAAATTTTCAGGACATGCTTCAATGGAGAAAAGTTTTATCTTTCAAAAAATGGAGGTCATTCGGATGTTAATATGGATAAAAGCCTTATTTGGACTCTTTCTTCACACATCATTAATAAAAATACACTTCGCTTAGATTGCCGATGTATAGTTTAAAAACTCAAAAACCATAAGAAAACATCTTTGTAACCTTGCAGTAGGCCAAAATTTAATAACTGGACATAGAAAGCACTAACCATTAATGAAAAGTGTGTAATTGTACTATATTAAAATTAAGATTATTCATCAAAACACACCATTGAGAGTGAAAAGGGAATAGGAGAAATATTTTACATATATAT